AAAAAAAAAAAAAAAAAAAAAAGCTTATCGAGACCCCATTGCTTACCAATTAGAAAGAAAAAATCCAGGCTGGCCACATAAGTGCTGACATGGATATGAGTAGCTAATATGGGGACCCAAGAAGACGCAGCCTCTCTGGAAGGCAGGTTCACAGTGTGTTAGCTACTTCCTCTTTTCTGGGACACAACACCCAACAGCCACAAGTTAAAGGAGGAGAGGTTTATTTAGCTCACAGTATATAGAGGTTCAGTCTATAGTTGGCTGGTTCCAAGGCAGGGCAGCATGGCAGAGGGGCATCTGAGAGGAGAAACAGTCCATGGAGGGCAGACAGGAAGCAGGAGGAATCAAGGGTGGAGGAGGGAGAGAGTCCCTTCTGGGCCACACTCCCAGGACCCGCCACTCAGCATCACATTCAGATTTAAGCTCATCAGTGGACCAGTCCACACTCACGAGTATCATGACCCTGTGGTCCAGTCACCTCCCAGAAGCCCCGTCTACGAACACTTGAGGCTTTGAGAGTGGACGTGTAGAAATAAACCCTAACATGCTACTTCTTAAATTTAAACATAAAATCCCCACATTTATGGGAATGTTCTTTCAGGGTGGTGGTAGTGGTTCACACAGGCATATATACTTGTCAAAACTCATTTGTACACAAAAAAATGGCAAATTTTATTGTGTACAAATTATAAATCAGTAAACTGATTGAAAAGAAAGCAGAATTCACCTTCAGAGGCAGGGGTGGGACTCACGATCCCACAGCAGATGGATGACGACCACAGGAGGGACTAGGTGGTTTAGACCTTAAGTCACTCACCTCGCACAGACACGGGGACATCACAGGGAGGCCCAGACATCACCCCGGTTCGGGGTGGTCCTAGGGAAGATGTTCTAGGGAAGCAGAATTCACCTTGTAGGCTGTTCTCTTTGGAATCACAATGAGCCTGATTCAGACAACATCGTGAAACAGTCCCCAGTGAAATAGAGATCTCAGGGAGAGTGGAGCGGAGGGCAGTTGTGTGGCCCCTGCAGGTGGATGGGTCTGAACCTGAGTCTCCTGTGTCGGTGAAAGCTCTTTCCTCTCCCTCTTGGGGAGAAAGAGGTCCAGGGCATGGACTGGGTCAAGACCTGGATTCTAAATTTCTCCAGCTCAGCAGGTCAAAATAACACACTCTGTGGGTATCATTTTCTAAGCCCAGCTGTGGGTCACCACAGAAGGGTGTATCTGATTGATGCATTGAGCTGTACACTCAGGAGTTCGCATTTCTGTAAATTGCACCTCAGCTTTTTGGTGAGGGGTCTCACTATGTAGATTAGGCTGGCTGCAAGCTTGTGGTGATCCTCCTGCCTCAGCCTCCCAAGTGCTGGGATCGAAGACATTCACCACTGTCTCCAGTTTACACCTCAATTTTCAGCAAAACAAGTGTTGATGCCTTTTGGGACATGGTGGTGCAGATCTATAATCCCAGCACTATGGGAGACTGAGGCAGGAGGATTACAAGTTTGAGCTCAGCCTGGGTGACTTAGAGACTTGGCAAGATCCTGTCTCCAAATAAAAAAATAAAATAAGGCTAGGAATGTAGCTCACTGGAAAGGCCCTGGGTTCAGTCCCTGGTATCCCCACCCACTCCAGCCGCACACAAAACAGAAGTAAGGATGCCTGAGCTTCATTCCTAGAAACTGGGATTTAGCTGGTCTGGGATGGGTGCAGGCACTGTTCTATTTTAGGGGCTCGCAGGGACCCTGATGTTCCCCAGAATAGACAGCAGTGACTTCAGGCCCGACTCTGTGTCTGAGTGGTGGGGAAGGTGCTGATCCCTCGTGCAGGTGTGGCCCGTCCTGGGGCGGGTGGAGGCTCGACTCTGACTGCTGGAAGGGCACTGCAGTGGGTGGAGGTGTGCAGAGTCACCGCTGTGTGCTTCAGCCCCTTCCAGACCCCAGGAGGATCGAGATGGACGCAGAGGAAGCCTCACAGGACACCGTGCGGCTGCAGTTCAAGGCGATGCAGGAGCTGCAGCACCGCAGGCTACAGAAGCAGATGGAGGCGAAGAGGGAAAAGAGCCTGCAGCTCCAGAGCCACGCTGGTGGCCAGGAAGGGCCCTCGGGGGTCTCTGACGGCCTCGGCCTCCTTCTCTCAGGGGAGCAGGACTTGAAGAGTGTCTTCCAGCAGAGGTAACGGAGGCCTGACCTCCCACGGGGCCTCAGGCAGGCGGAGGCAGGGCAGGGCGGCGCAGAGTAAGATGTGGGCTCCTCCATGAAAGTGGCTTCCACACGGGGTTGGTTCTTCAAAACTCCTGGATCTGCTAGAGCCATGCTCTGAGGCAAAAATTTAATATGAAACACACCAGAAAATCATCTAAAGTGAACCTGAACATTGAAAACCTCCTCCGGGTATAGTTTATCACCTGGTTTTACTCTATGTGACTGAGTGATTGGTTGATTGACTGCAGTACTGGGGGTTGAACCCAGGGCCTTCGCACTGAGCTGTGTCCCCATTCATTCATTCATTTATATTTTGACACAGCATCTGGCTAAGGTGCTAAATTGCCCAGGCTGAGTTCGAACTTGTGAGCCTCCTGCCTCAGCCTCCCACAGTGCTGGGATTAAGGAGTGCACTGCCACACCTATTTTATCAACAGATTTTTTCCCCCATCTCTCTTTCATGAGAATTCTGTGTCTCTGAGGAGTTGGTTGGCTGCTGCTGGTTCCAGGTGCTCGTTGTTCCAAATCCCTGGCTGGCTTCTCACCCGGCTTCCTCTCCTGTCCTGGAGACACAAAACGCCCCTTCCCAAAGATGCACCTGCTGATCCTTTCCCCTCCACGGAAGGTGGATAGTTGGACGCATCGAGAGCCTGCTCGGTGTGCTCTGACCCTGGCAGTCTCCGGAGGCATCCGGCCCACACCGCTCAGAGGCAGCAGGGACTTCAGTCCTCTGCCCGTTGCTGCACCAGACGGGCTCCACGCTGTTGAGCCAACTCCTTACTTCTGCTTTTCATCTGGAATATTTCTTCCATCTTCAAATTCAATTTTTTTTAAATCACCTTCAAATTCTGCTTTTTTATAGTTTCTGTTTTCAAACTGACCTACTTTAAAATGCCAATTGGAAGAAATATTTCTAATAATTGAAAAAATGTTTTAAATGATACAGCTCCTGAGTTTCAGCTCTCAGTCAACCCCAGACCTGTTTCCAAATGACCTATCCCCAAACCAAGGAACTGGGTTGGCGGAGACCTGAGCCCCTGTTTAGTAACAGCAGCAGCAGCCGCTGCCCAAAAATTCCCTGCCTCCGGCAGCTCCTTGTGCACTGCGCCTGACACAGCAGCCAGTGCCCATCGTTCGGGGTTTCCTGGCTCCGTGAAGACGGCGGTGACACACCCTCTCCCAGTGTTCGGCAAAGTGTACCCCAACCCTGGAGGCTGAGCCTCAGTTTGAAGCTCACAGAAATCGCCATTTGGTCTGCCCGTGTGTGTGCACGTGCGTGTGCCCACGTGGGCATGGAGGACTGCAGCAGCTCCGTCGGAACTTGGGAAGTGCGGCTGTGACGAAGGCTGTGAACCCCTCGAGTCTGACCGTGCTTCTGCGGCCCAGCCTCTAAGTGCTTGCTCGTGTTCATTCTGACTTCTTCTTTACCAACAGATAATTTGGTACCTTGCTTTTCAAGGTCCAAATCTATGATGACCTTTGGGTTTGGTTTTTAATTTTCTTTTACTTTTTAATTTATTTTTGTTTGTATATTTTGAGACAGGGTCTCCTTACACAGTCCAGGCTGGTCTTGAACTCATTGTGTACCCCAGGCTGGCCTCAACCCCCACCCTCCTGCCTCAGCCTCCTGAATGCTGGTAATACAGGCGTGTGCCACTGCGCCCCGTTCATTTTTTGCTATTTTGTCAACTGCCATCTTTATTTGAGAATGTGCCGAGACTAGCTTTGTAGCTGCCCATTCGTGGTCATGCGTATCCCGTGGGAGTGTGAGCATACTTCCCCGACACGGGTTGTGCAGTAGACCTGGAAGCCAGCTCATAAGCCATGCTGTTCGGACCTTCTTTTCTCCTGCTTATGTGGTGCACACACGCGTGACCACTCAATCCCGGGAGCAGTGTGTTGAATCTGCTGACCTCTCCCTAACCCTGTTCCTTTCTGGGTAGCCCAGTCCTGCTCCCCAGTGCTAGGCGCTCATGCTGCCTTTGCTTTGCAGAGTGCTCGAAGACGAGGTCCAGCAGCTGCGGGACGAGCTCAGGGAGACCGTGGACGAGAATGGGCGCTTGTACAAGCTGCTGAAGGAGAGGGACTTTGAAATCAAACACCTCAAGAAGAAAATTGAAGAGGACAGACTGGCCTTCACAGGTAGTCCAGGGGTCATCCGACTGCCACGCCGGCCCCAGAGGGTGGGCGCCGAGAGGCAGTGCCAAGGGTCTGCTGGGGTCACATGTGTCTAGCTGCATCCAGAGGTGAGGGGAGGTGGAGGACAAGAGCAGGAAACTTGGGACAGAGTGAGCAGGGACAGGCAACCCAGCTGGCTGGGAACCCGGCTCCCTGCTGCGCTCACGGGAGGAAGGGTCCGTCTCTCCTTGGCTCAGATGCTGTGTCCCAGACATCACGGGCTGGGTGGGGTCAGGTGCTTGCCCTGAGGCTCCTGCCTGCCCTCCAGGGGCTGCTGGTGAGGGCCTGGGCTGCCCTGGACTCCGTGGTTATGAATCTGACCTTGGCCCTGACTGTGCTTCACCCCTGCACCACCACGGAGCATTTCCCAGGGCCGATCCACCAGCAGGCACCTGTCACCACCCTCATGCCCACGTCTGCCAGCGTGACTCTCTGCCCAGCCCAGAGGACGGCCGGGTCAGAGCCACGGGGAAGAGCGCAAGGAGCTTGGTGTCCTGGGCCCTGGCAGCCCTGTGCCCCTTCTGCTCTTTCCTGCTTTGAGGATCAGCCGTGCTCCCCCTCACCCGGAGTTCAAGGGCAGCTGCAGTTGGCCAGGCTGCATAGAAGCAGGGATCCAGGGGGAGTGGGGGACCCAGTGCCATGGTGCGGCAACCCAGGAGGCAGCACGGCCGCACCTGCTCCCCACCGCTGTCCCTGCACTGGCACTCTGCCAATGCGCGGAGTTGGCTGTGTCCTCCTGAGGACCACTTAAATCTAGTCGGTGTCAGGTGTTTGTTTTGGCGTTTTGAGTGTGTGTGTGTGTGTGTGTGTGTGTGTGTGTGTGTGTGCACACGTTACTGGAGATTGAACCCAGGACCTTCACACTGAGCTACATCTCCAACCTGTTTGTTGACTCATTATTCATATCTTGAGACAGGATCTCACTAATTCACTAAGTTTCCCAGGCTGTCCTCAAAGTTGTGATCGTCCTGCCTCAGCCCCCCAGAGTGCTGGGATTACAGGTGTGCACCATGCTGGCCAACATCACATTTCAGAGGTGAAGTCCGACTGACCCCATTCAGTTTTTTAAACCAGGCCACAAATGTTGGCTATGGACAGCTGATGGGCTGTTTTCCGTTGGCTGGAGTTTCACTGTGTGCTTTGGTGATTTCAGGGTGCTGAACTTGTACAGTCTGTTAGAATTAGTATCTCAGCATGTCAAGTGGAAGGCAGAAACTTGGCCACGGTAGAAGTCCTTCACCCTCCCCACAGGCATCACAGCTTTTATGTGCATTATACCAGGTTTACTGAGAATCTTAAAGACGTGATAGGTTTTGCTGGCAACCATTATACACATTTTAAAGAGCTTAAAGAGACAAAATCCCTGTGCTTTCCCACAGCTTTGCCATTTGTCAAGGAGGTCACAGCTTTAGGCCTGGCTGGGCTGCGGTTGGACAGGGAGACAGGAGGAGAGGAGAGAGCAGCGGTCTCTGGGCTCCCTGTTGTCTGGACAAAAGGGGGCCTCACCTGCCTGCTGCTGAGGGCTGTCCAGGACTCGCACTGCTTCCGAGTCTAGGAGGAAAACCCAACCTGGGAAACTCACCCCTGGGTCATTTGTTCATCGGGGTTTGGTTTCCTCCCCAATGTGCTTGGTATGGCTTAGCTTCCAGTCACTGGGGCACGATACCAAATACCCACAATTGCAAGGAGGAAAGGTTTGATCTGGCTCCTGGTTCAGGGAATTCAGCTCCATGGCAGGAACATCATGGCGGAAGGGCACGGTGGAGGGCTGCTCCCCTCATGGTGACCAGGAAGTAGGGAGAGAACAGAGGAGGGAGCTGGATCCCCAAAGGCCCCCATGGTGACTCTCCATGAACCCATCGGTAGATCCATCCACCTGAGAGGGCGGTGCCCCGATTAGTCACCTCCCACACACACACCTTGAGGGACATCCTAGGTCTGACCCCGACACTCACTTGCTTCCAGAATCCTCACCTTGCTTCTTCGTGCATTCTGTCCCGGGGCTTGGGTTCCTTGTTGGGAGCAATAGGGCGGCACATGCTTCCTCCACCCCAGCAGAGCCAGAGCTTCAGTCACTAGTGTGATGGTGTCCCCTCCCCGTCCCTGGGAGCCAGCATGTCCTCCTGTCCACCCCAGACCTTGAGGGCCCCAGCCTGCTCTGAGCCCTCGCCCTTGGTGTGTCCTTGTCCTCCTCAGCATGCGGGAGGTCTGAGGGCAGCTGCTCCCTACTGCCCACCTGTGGCACAGCCCTCCCAGGGCAGCAGCCCCCGGAGGCTCAGAATCTCCCGAGTGCTGCCACGTGCTCTCCACACTGTCCCCTCTGCACGTGGGCCCGGCCTCGCTGGAACGTAAGACAGGATGGTGTCTGTGCCAGGCTCCAGGGACTGGAGTGTCAGAAGCATGTGGGAAACTTGCCAGCGCTGCCACCTTTCCAAGAGCCAGGTCCCCGTCCTCGGAGCGTAGCCCGGAGCCTGCTCCTCAAGGACAGCCCACTTCTCCCCAGCCATATCCACCCCTTGTGTGTCTAGCTGTGGGTCTGACTGTGGACGAACTCCCTCCTCCGAGAGCTGCCAGGCCACCTCTGGGCCCCACCTCACAGCCCAGTGCTCCCCACGGTCCACGCATGCTGACCGTTTGGTTCTCATTGTCTGTCTCCCTGCTAGAATGCAAACTCTGGGAGTCCCTTTTACTCACCACCAAATCCCTGACACTGAGAGGGCCCAGCACTTGGCAGAAACTCAATAAACACTTGCTCAGTGAACGTGTGCGCCTGGAGTACTTAGGTGCCGCCACAGAACTCCGTCAAAGAAGCGGCCACTTCATCCCAGCAGCTTCCGGCCATGAGCATTCACTCGGCTCAGACGTCGGGGATCAGTGGGGTTGGCTGGGATTGGCCTGGCATGGCTGGGGTGGCTGCTTGTCCCCTGTCCCTCTTCTGGGGACTGACAAGCCAGCCCAGACCTGCTCGCGTGCAGATGGTGTGAGTGCTCCTCCAGCGCCTTCCTGCCCTGGCCCCCACCTCCCGCTGGCCAAGCTCAGAGCCCAGCGGGCAGAGGTTGGGGGCTACACCCCCTCATCAGAGGACTCAGGGGAAGAATGGGAGCATAAGCCCACCTCCCACAGAGCTGAACCTCTGCCTTCTGGTTTCACCGTCTCCCTGAGTGGCTTCATCTGTGTCCTCCTCAGCACCAGGCTCCTGGGTGTGCAGGACTCTCGGAGCCTCTGCCCCTTGATCTCCTTCCAGCTCCTTGCACCAAAAGCCCCAGCACTATTGCCATGTGGCATGAGAGTAGCATGCAGGACTCCTTTTTCTTGACCCTGCCATTCCTTCTGTTTTAGGCACAGCTGGCCCGGCAGGAGACCTGGTGGCCTCCAGAGTCGTGGAGCTGTCCAAAAGGAACCGAGTGCTGGCGGCTGAGTCAGAGGCTGCGCGAGCCAGGGTGAAACAGCTGAGCAGCTGCGTGCAGCAGCTGGAGCTGGAGGTGAGGGCACCACAGGAGGTGCTGCCAGCCTCTGAGGGCTCAAGGCTCAGCACTGGGCATGGTGGCCTCATGTACCCCTCATGTACTCAGTGAGTGTGAGCACACTGCCCTTGGTGCCGTGGGAGCATCTATTCTGTGGCACAGTGTTTTGAGATCTGTCTCCAATTCTGAGCCAGGCCCTCAGGAGGTGGGGAGGTTGGCATAGCCATGGCGGCTCCTGGAGACAGAGTACGTGGGCTTGTGGTATGGTTGTCACCCGAGGCGGAGGAGAGAGCAGCACCTGGACGGGGTGGTGGCCAGGACCAGCAGGGGAGCTGCCTGGGGTTACCGGTCAGGGCACACAGTGTATCCAGACTCTGAGGGCCTAGCTGGAACCAAAGCCTCAAGCAGGGATGAGGCCTGAAAGCAGCCAGCACAGTGCAGAGTGGCGTGGGAGGGGTCCCGCCCACCAGTCAGACAGGGCCAGGCCTCTGTGCGAAGTGTCAGGAGGGTGCTACAGGCTCAGAGTCCCAGACGCCCTGTGTCCCGGGTCCAAGTCCACAATTCTCCCACGCTGGGCCAGGGCTCAGCAGTATCCGCCAGGCTGCTGGTAGGTCCTGGCTGCTCTGCTGGTGTGAGGGGAGGGGCAGGAGTCTGTAAGGAGAAAGCACAGCTGCACCGCAGGTTGGGAACCCCACACCCAACACGCCAAGGCACTTTGCTGGGCCGTGCAGCACCCAGCAGAGTGAAATATTAAGGACAAGGTTTGCTTTTTCAGCTGCAGACGGCCCTGGCCAGGCTGCCAGCCAAGGGGGCCACAGACACAGGAGCCAAGCCACCGAGGTCCCGGATGGGAGACGGCACCCTGGTATGGAGTCTGCCTGTGGGGTCGCCGTGGGCCGGGTCCCCAGTCCTCTCCCTCCTTCCCTTACTCCCTCTCCCTGCCTCTTCTTCCTCGTCCTCCCCTGTGGACCTGCAGTTGCCTCTGCCTCGGTCCCCTGGCTCTGTGCTGAGCTGGCATGCGTAGTGCAGCTACCAGGAACAGTGCCTAGTCTGTGGCCCAAGGCTGGGGGCCCTTGCAGAGGCCAGGAGGGTCGGTTCCCAAGGAGGGGCCAAGGCCTCAGGGACCTTAGAGCAGCCACAGGCCTCCTGCTGGCACCTCCTGCAGGGCTCCTCCAGTGGGAGAACCAGCCCACCGCCTGACCCTGCCCAGGCCCTACCCCAGGGAGCGTCAGTGGGTGGCTCTCTGCGTCTACAGTGCACATCCCTGGGCCCCTTGTACCAACCTAGGGAGGGGACTCGCAGAGTAGGAGAGGGGCAGTGTCTGAGCCCAAGCTGGCTGTGGAGTCCAAGTGTCTGGCAGTCCTGGGAGACCAGGTCAGAGGGGCAGAGAGAGCCGGGGGCCTGGACCACCCCTCCCATCTCAGGATCAGGCTACCTGAGAGGCGAGGCCTGTCAGCAGAGGCAGCACACTGGCAACCAGAAGACCCTCCTGCCCTCCCTCTGGAGCCGGCCTTTCCCTTACACTGAGGAGTGCGGCTTTGCCTGCATGACCCAGCCAGGGCCAACCTCTGTGTCCCTCCAGGCCGGGCCCACCACAGAGGCACTGCCGCAACAGCACCCAGGCAGAGCCCTCAGGGGCCTGGGCGCAAAGCTCACATGGGAGGAGGCCTCCCCCCAACCCCAAGCCTCCAGTCTGACAGAGATGGGCACCTCACCGTGGGGTGAGGGGCAGTGGGCAGCCCACAGGCAAAAGGACACACAAATACTTTTTACAGGGTTTACTCGTATTTCCTAGAAGCTTCCAGCTTGCCAGCTTTGCTCACATGGGTTATTCCTTAGTTGGATGTGGTTCTGTGAGGAGGCAGTCGGGGGACCAAGTGTCCAGGGCCAGTTTCTTTGGCCATTGGTTTTCAGCAGGGCTGCCCAGAGCCTCGGGTTCGTGGAACACCACACGTGGTCTCCCTGGGCCACTGCCCACCCTGGCGTTCACAGGAAGGGGTGAGAGCCACAGCGGCCCCCACCTGCCTCCCAGAAGCACCGGCCCCTGGGCTCTGTGTCACCGTGGGGAGGAGCCAAGATCCCGGCAGCAGTGGCTGCCTCCACTGGGAAAGCCAGCCGGGGCAGAAAGACCAGGCCTCTGCCCCAGGGTGTCACCGGCACCCTGCTGCCCAGGGACAGGCACTGCCCCTCTGTTGGTGACACCCGCTTGCTCACTCAGGAGGAGCTCGGGTGGGCTGGCCTCGGAGGCTTGGGACGTGTGGCAAAGACAGGTGGTCGGCAAGTTTCAGAAGGACAGACATGGAGCCAAACGTGTCAACAAAACATCACATGTTGTTTAAAAAAAAATTAAAAACACACAAAGGTCCAGCAGGCCGACTTCATGGTTGCTCCAGTTCTTCAGGTCGCAGGGAGGGAGGGTTTGGGGACTGCACCTGGGTCCCATTCCTGCTCAGTGGGCCCAGTGCCGGTGGATTCCAGGAGAGGGAACCGGGTCAGGGAGGCCGCGGTCCTTGTGCAAGTGAACCAGCGCCTCCTCCAGTGAGACTGGCAGAGGTCTGCAGCCTCCCACAGCTGCCCTACCTGTGTGGGCAGTGCCCGGCCAGCATGTGGGCAGCACTCTGTGCAAGGCAAAGCCTCAGCCTGTAGTCAGGCTGCCAGGGTCCAGCCAGGGCCTTGCCTTCACCAGCATGTGCTCAGGCCAGGGGCTTCCCTCCCGGGACCCCAGGGGCTCATGAAGGTGGAACATGGCACCAAGGACGTGGGGCTATGGCTCTCATGACTCCAGGGAACAAGCGACCGGTCTCCCTGCCCTTCCAGCAGCCGGAGACCCCTGAGGTAAAGGCCCTGCAGGACCGTCTGGCGGCCACGAACCTGAAGATGAGCAACCTGCGTGACCAGGTCCAGGCTGTGAAACAGGAGCTCCGAGCAGCCCAGAAGGTCCTTCAGAGCTGGGCTGGACTCGTGGGGCTGGGGCGGCCAGGAAGATGCAGCCTCAGAAGCCATCATGCCTTGGTCCCGTCCAGCTGGTGGCCACATCAGCACTGTGTGGCGACCCCCTCACTGGGCTGAGGAGGACGGCTTTGTCCCCCCAGGAGGGTCCTCCATCCCACCCCACCCCCACCTAGCAGGCCCAGTGCTGGGCAGGATGCGCCTCCTGTCCTCTGCCCCCGTAGTGACCCCACACAGGCAGGCGGTATGTACCATGTGCATTCAGGGCCCCTTCAAAGGAAACTCAGGCTTGGGGCCCAGGCCCAAGCCCAGGGGTTCGTTATTTATTTCTATTTACACAGTGAATTCCCTGGAATTTTTCTTTCCCTGTGGAACCACTCAGCCTGGCCAAGATCTCCAAAACAATGCTGTATTGTGGAAACCAGAGACAGCCAGCCGGGCGGGGCTCTGTGGGGGCTTCAGAGGGGCTGGACGCAGGCTGGTGCCATGTCTAGGCCTTCATGTGGGGCCGAGCCCTGCATATCCCAGCCCCAGAGCTGGGCCCCTGAGGGAGTCTGGCCCTCGCCCTGCTGCTCATCCTAGCTCTGCTGAGGGCGAGGGTCTGGCGCAGAGGCCCTGAGAGCTCTCAGGAGGTGACAAGTGATGGGTTCCGGGTGGCGCAGGCCCACTCGCCAGGGAGTGTGCAGGGAGCTGGGCACCCCAGGAAGTGCTGAGGCCTACGGGTTCCCTGCCTCAGGGAGACCTGGCCTTCTGGCCTGGCTTGGCAGCTGTCCTCTAAGGCCCAGGAAGGGGTGTGGGTGGAGGCTCCTTGGGGAGCCCCGCTGGCCCCAGCCACAGCGGTGAGCCCCTGCCTGCCTGCAGGTCCTGGCCAGCGAGGTTGGGGAAGACGTGAGTGTGCAGCAGCTTCTGTCCTCGCCTGGGACCTGGAGGGGACGTGCCCAGCAGATCCTTGTGCTGCAGAGCAAGGTGAGTGGCCACTGCCACCTGCTCAGCCCAGCCCCCGTGAGACTCAGACACGGAACCCAGCAGGGCTGCTCTTCCCTCCTCCCTCACCAGCCTGACTCCAATGTGAGATTTAATGCACAAGCGCGTATTTAGCACTCACAACCCCAGGCCCTCGTGCTTAACAGATGCCAGTGCCTCTGGTGTGATTTCCTGTTCTGCAGCCACACTTCTTTTTTCCCTAGTTCATCTAAATCTGTGTGACTGTTGTGACTTAGGCTCTTTCCAGTCTTGTCCAGATGCATGCAGACTTTGGATGTTTTTATTACCCAATGAAAACTTAGCCCCACCTCGCTCTCTTTTCCTGAGCATGTTGGAGTGCGCCCAGCCCAACAAAGGGTGACACCCCCTTGCCACTTTCCGCGGGCCTGTGTGTGCCAGGCTCTGTGTGGAGCGCCTCACCTGGACTGTCTTGGGGTTTCTCAAAGTAACCCACTCCCAGAAGTCACCAGGCCCTTCCCTTGGCAGTCTGGAGTAGATTCCAGGATTTGTCACTGCAAGCAGAACCAATGGATTCATGTTTCCGGCGTGTTTGGGATGCTGACTCCTCATAATGACATTTTACAGTGTTTACCCAAGGCTCATTTCCTGGTAGAGGGAGCTGGGATTGAGGGAAGTGAAGTGACCCAGGCAGTCACACAGCCAGCGGGGCTCTGGGCTTCTCCTGCAGTGGCCCACCCTCTGCAGAGCCCCATCTTCGGCGGTCCACCCATAGAGTCCTTCCCTGTCCTGAAACCCAGGCCACACGTCTGCTTCTTGGCCTTGAGACGGGGGCTATCCTTGGCCCTGATGAGTCTGGTTTCTGAGCCTCTCTGTGCCCTGGGCCAGCACAGGCCCCTCCCCACACAGAGAACCCCCACGGCCCTGGGGCAGAGGCTCCAAGTCTTCAGTCCCAGTGGGGTCTGCTCTCTCCCCTAATGGTGGGGTCTGTGACACTCACTCGGGCTGGAACGAGGAGTTTTACTGCCCTCAGGTCCGGGAGCTTGAGAAGCAGTTGGGACAGTCCCGGAGCAGGTCTGCGGGGACAGCCAGTGACGAGCTGTCTGTCCACCCAGACCCCAGGAAGCTGTCGCCACAGGAGAGGAACCTGCAGAGGATCCACAGCCTGAAAAGGGAGAGGCAGGAAGGCTGGGAGGTGAGGATGGCACCGGGGAGCCTGGGGCCGGGAGGGCCCAGGAGGCCCTGGGGGGTGGGGGGCATGGGGCAGGCAGTCCCCTTGAGTGGGCCCAGCTGGAGCTGCCTAGAAGGGTCTTGATGGGCTGTTTGCAGGATGTTGTGCCTGAACCATCCTGGGAAGGGAGGGAAGGCAGGTTATGGGTTGTGGCTAGATGGGGCTGGGGTGGGCATCTCCAGGCTTATGAAAGGGTGGGGCTACAGTGTGAGACTTGATTCCACTGAGTTTGAGCGACAGACAGAACTTCTAGCCTGATACTGTTATGGAAGGAACTGGTAAATGATACGCAGAGATGCAAGAAGTGGGTGAAATAAAACATGTTTACTTTTGCTAGCAAAGGATCAGTCTGCACCGTGAGCTGTGCCAAATGACCAACCCTGGGCTGGGTGACAAATCTGCCTTTTATAGGAGTTTTACAATCATAACCTCATTTTAGGTGATAAAACTCTCTGGTTCCCACTCTTCCCATCACAAAACATGGTCACAAGCCAGTACAATGTTAACCCAAATGTAGCAGTTTCTTTCAAGATGTTTATCCCTAGCTGTTCCAGCCCACAGGAGTGGGGGCCAGAGGTAGGAAAGCAGGACTGGTAACATTCCTTTCATCTCATCGCTTTTATAGCCATGTGGTTTACAGAAAGTTTTATGGCTCAAGGGCTAGGTTGCAGCTAAGCACATCCAGCAATTGTTAATTTTAAACCGGGGCTATGAGCCTTTTAAGCTTCACTGCTGAAATCTCCAGTGTTTTGTAAACAAGCAATGCAAAACAAATTACAGAAGCAAAAGACAGCGGTTATTCTATATTTTCTTTAACATTTTGTAGGTTCCAGGCTATTTGCAGAAGTTCTCTATCAGTATGAACAGTCCCCCATGCTCTCACTCTGGGTGTGGCTGGACAGGGGACTTAGGGACTTTCTCAGGTCTGGGTTGGCCACACTGTGTGCCATGGGACCCATCGTCCACCCTAGCCTCACGGCGTGTCCAACCAAGCTCCAGAAATCAGTGTCTTTGGCAAGGCTGGGGTCACGAGCCCTCTTGAGCTGGTCCTGTTGTCCCAGGAAGCACCCAGCTCTCTTGGCCAAGCCATGGTGCCCATGCCCAGGTCAGGCCTGGCTGAGAGTAGGAGCCAGAACAGCTGGCGCAAAGTGGGAAGCAGCAGGAGGTGTGCTGGCCAGCCAAGTGGTGAGCCCCAGGCCTCCTGTGCCAGGGATGCAGTGACTGTCACCACACTGTACCTTACCGCGCGCTGGACCAGCGGGCACAGGCTGGGATGAGGCAGGTCTGCAGGCCTGAGCCCTGGCTTTCCCCCGAAGGCAGTGGAGAATCCCAGGGCCTCTGAGGCGATGGCATGTGGTCAGTGTGCAAGTTGGGAAGGCTGCGTGGCCAAGGGAGGGGAGGTGGAAGAGGCAGTGATGATCTGTTCAGGACGGGGTGAGGACTGCAGGGGCTGGGGGATGAAAGTAGGACCCAGGGTGGACCCCGAATGCCCTGTGGCTGACTGGAAGGGAGTCGCGCCAGGAGAGGGACAGAGGACTGGTTGGGTGTGGGGTGAGGAGGGGAAGGGGAGACAGGGCTCAGATTCACTGTCACAGGGCAGAACCGGTGTCCTGTAGGCCTGGCCCCCTCCGCCCACCCCTCGAGCAGGCAGAGCAGAGCCTCTTGCCTGTCTGCCATTCACCCCTCAGGGCTGACCCCCTCAGCAGTCGAGGGCTCTGTGCCATGGGGTCTCCTCCCGTTTCGGGCTTGCCTGGCCTCTGTGGCAACCACAGGCCTGAGCCCCGCTCTGTTCCTGTGCTCTCTGCTGCACTCCCTCCACCCGGTCCCCACTTGTCATCTGTGTTTGTACATTTGGGATGTCACCTGCACGTCCTGCTAGGAGGCTCTGGGGAAGTCAGAGGCCAGCACCTGCTGTCCTTCCGGGTCCGGCTCGGGGACCCTGCTCCAGGCCCAGTCCCACTCGGCCCCGCCGCTGCTGTTGAGTTTGTCTCATGCAGCGCTGGCCCAAGTTCCTGTGCCCACCCTAGGCCGCTGGCTGGGTGGGAGCCCAGGACTGAGCTGGCCCTGGCTTCCCCGTGCAGAAGCTCGCAGGTGAGCGAGACGCCCTCCAGGGAGAGCTGGAGGGGCTGAAGAGAAAGTTCGAGGGTGCACGCTCCCGCAACAAGGTCCTGTCCAATGAGGTGAAGACCCTCCGGGGCCAGATGGGGACGCTGGCAGAGAAGGGCAGGCACGACGATGAGCTCATCGACGCCCTCATGGTAGGAGGCCCTCCGGGGCTCACAGCCTCCACCCCAGATGAAGCAGCCATGCTGTGCAGGCACAGACCCCGGCCTGAGGACCCCACGGGAGGGAAGATAGTGGGGAGATGGGAAGGGCCCAGGTCCAGCTTCAGCAGGACATGGAGGGACCCTGGCTTCATACGTGTTTGTGTCCGTCCCTTCCCAAGGCCCTTGATGATATTGTGTCCCCAAGACAGCTCCCAGTGTCACAGGTTAGGGTCCCTTTCACAGCTGAGAGCCCAGCACACAGGCCCGGTACATAACTCAGTCCCAACAACACAGCCGAGCTCCATCCGGGAGCTCCAGACCTGGCTGCCCTGTAGCCTGAGTCGCCCCAGGTTTAGGACCTGAATTCCATATGGTCCCCACCTGCCCCAGGGAGATGCAGCTGGCTGGACTGCAGCACTTGGGACACAGTGTGGCCCCAGAACCCCAGAACGGAGGCTGCCTCGGTCCCCCCTGTGCTGGCTAACCCCAGCCCAGCCTCGGCCACTCGCTGGGCCTCAGCAGCCAGCTTTTGCCACCAGGTACAGGCTGGGTTTCCTCTGTATCCCTCAGCGGCTGCCAGGCCAGCCCTGCATCCAAGGCTCTCTGGCCTCTGCTTCCTCCTCCCCTTCCGAGTGGTTGCCATGGCTCTTGCTGTTGTCCTGCTGCAGGAAGCTGGGAGTGTCCTTGGAGCATTTCCAGGGCATGGGCATCAGGTGGGTGGGCTAGGGCACTGCCTCCCAGGGGTCCAGGCCTGGCTTTTACCCCCACGCCTGCCCTGCCACTGAGGAGCTGCCCGAGCTCTTCCTGCTCCCCTTGTGCCCTGCCCACCTGGTTTGAGTCCCAGTGAGCTGTGCTGTGCTATGGGGTCCTTGTGGCCCGGAGAGAAGACAGGGGTCACCCGAGCAGCCAGGACTGACCCGCTGTCTGGCCTGGCCCCCAGGAGCAGCTGAAGCAGCTGCAGGAGACCCTGAGCAGCCTCAGCCTGCAGGAGGAGAAGGCACGTGCATCCCAGCGCCACCAGGACCAGGAGGCCCACAGTGAAGCCCAGCGGAACAGCAGCCTGGTGGCCCAGCTTCAGGCCGTGGTGGCCGAGCGGGAGGCCAAGGTGCGGCAGCTGGAGCTGGAGGTCAGGCAGCTCAGCGGGCAGGTGAGGGCATGAGTGCCGGGAATCCCAGCCTCCTCTTCCTGCGCTGTCCTCGCTCTGGCACCAGAAAGGACAGGTCCCTCTGCAGTCCTCAGCGGACAGGCATCAGCTGCCATTTCCTCCAACCAGCTGGGGAGGGGCTCGTGCCAGGCTGCTGCGCACCTGTACCTGCCGTCCCTCCTTGATGGCGAGGGAACCCTACGGTCCCTTCCCAGTGGGCATCAGGCCCTGACCTGGCCAAGTCCACAGCTGGGCATCTCCCCTGGCCCGGAACTGGAGCAGCCCCTGGCTTCCTGAAGAGAGGCTTCAGCCAATGCCATCATCATGCGTGCAGCTCCTCCCCACGTAGGCCTCACTTCCCTCTGAAGAGAAGCCTCTTTCATGTCCCCAGGGCCCCAAAACCAAGCCCCCCCGCCACTGTACCAAAGCCCGACACGGAGCCCACATCTGTCCCCACAGTATCTCCGGGACAAAGGCCCTGGTGAGGGGTCCTGCAGGCCCAAGGTCAACCCCACTCACCCCAGGCTCTCAGACGACCAGGACGTGGCCCAGTCCCCAGGCTCCGCAGGTGACCACACCAGCCGACTGGGGTCCTCTCGGTGAGCGTGCGCTGGGGAGGGGAAGCCTCCGATGGGTCCCGGGTGGCCTGCGCCCCTGATGATCCTTCCCCACACCTGCAGGGCAGCCGTGAGGCCCAGGCCTCACTGTGACAGCCCTTGAGAGTCCTCAAGGCCCGTCTGTCCCTGCTCCTCATGCAGCCCCACTGGGCCCCAACATTGCTGGGTGGTTTCATTCCAGGAAGAGGCCGGGGATGCTGGGAGCCCATGTTGGGCCCCTCAGCTGCTGACGGCCCCTCTGACCCCGCACAGTGCCGTGAGCAGCCTGGGCCACACGCTGGTGGAGTCGGTGCTCACAAGGCCTTCCCTGCCCAGCCCCCACGGGACCACACCCAGGTACGAACCCCACAGTTCAGCCAGGGCCCAGTCCCCTGAAGAGGGGAGATGGAGACCAGGATGGCCCAGGTCCCCAGTTCACAGCCCAGGCAACAGTCAGTGGCCTGAGAGCTGGAGCCCCGCCCGGCCTGGCTCCCTGTGGCTGACAGGGCAGGCGTGACCCAGCACCATGCCTGTGCCTGTGACACAGGCTCCATTCTCCGGGGGAGCCCTGTCCATGGCTCCCATTCTGGGTCACCGACACCCTTGGTCTTGTGCCTCTCTTTGTTGGTAGAATCAGCCTGGGGCTTGAACAGGGCCTTTGTTCTGACTGCCAGCTCACAGACAAGGATGGCTTTGTCCTGCCTCAGCCTGCTGGAGCCCTGCTTCTGTGGCAACAGACCCCGGTCCCTTGGGCAGGTCACCTGGTCTGGCGGGGCCCTCTCCCGACTCCCTGTGTGGCTCCAGGAAAGTCTCTGGGCTGCTGTCCTGAGGCACCTGGGACACTTGCGACCTGCTGCTGGTGCCACGGCCAGCCTGGCTTCTCCTTGTCGCGGCACCAGGGCATGAGTGGCCGTCTCTGAGGGGACATCCCGCCCAGGCCCATGCAGCTATGACCGAACTTCCACGGGGCAGACACATGACACTGACAGAGGGAGCCTAGCCCTTGAGGGCCCTGCCCGCTGAGCTCCCTGTCCCTCCAGCGAGGGAGGGCCCCGCCCTGCATGACTGGTGGGTGCTGGATGGACAGAGCAGAGGGGCAGCCCCTCCTCTGCTCCTCTGCCCTCCCTGGAGTCATGGCACCCGTGGGCAGCACTCCAGGCTCCCAGGTCCAGGATGCAGATCCGCATTTCCCGCCAGCACCAAGCCACTGTCAACGGCCACTGACCCAGAGCCCCCTGAGTGCAAGGGAGCAGTGCTGGGACCAAAGTGAGGGGCTGAGGTCCCAGGGCCCCTCACCACCATGGTGCTTAGTGGGACCTTGGCCCATACGAGCAGCCCCAGAGCTGTGTCCTGCTGCCTCATAGCCCTCCCTGTGCACCACATTGCCGGAGGAGCTGGGGTCACATGTGGGCTCTGGGACTCTAGGGCGGGGGTCCCCTTCTGTCCTAGCCCTGGCCACCTGCAAGGAAGGGTATCTGGTTCAGGAAGGTGAAATGGGTTTGGAGTGAGTGAGGAGGGGAAGGCAGGCTTGGCACAGACATCAGGGCCACTGGCCGTTGGCAGGACAGTCAGGCCCCAGAAGCCACATCGGTGCTACGGGCAACCAGGGCCCGGGAGCCAGCATCCAGAGCAGGCAGGTGGCTCCAGGTCCCATGGGGATCATGTGGGCACTGATGGAACCACAGCAGCAGGGACTGCAGCAGGACTTTCTGACTGGCCCTGCAAGCCCAGGTGTCCTTCCTGTCCCTGCCACTGTTCCAGACGTGCGTGTGGTCTCCTGGCCTCAGTGACCTCTGCCCTCTGCCCTCCACCCTGGCTGCAGCTTCCCAGACTCCATGGAGCAGAAAGGCTGGCGGGCTCAGGTGACCGAGATCAAGGCACTGTGGCAGGCCACCGAGGTGGAGCGGGACCGGCTGAGCGAATTTGTCACCGTGCTGCAGAAAAGGTAACATGTGGGCTGTGCTCTGGGGCCCGTAATCTGGGGCCTCCCTCACTGAGCCCCTCCTGGTCCGTCCAGGGCAGCCCCAGCCCAGCCTCAGGCCCACCCATAGGCCCTGCAGCCTGTGTGCAGCCCTGTCCCACACCCCTGGAGTCTCTGGAGGGCACTGGAGCTGTGGTCTACCAGTCAGTGCAGCTGCAGTTAGAGCCGTAGTGGTGCTGTGGGCTGCTTGGTGGGAGAGGACACAGGCTGGCAGCTGTGGGGACAGAGACCCCTTGGGACACCCTGGCCCAGAGGCCCCCATGTCCTCCTGAGGCTGTTGACTGACTTCATGCAAACGAATCAGTGTGTACCTGAGTGGCCCTTGGCAGGACCGCGGGTGCCAGGTGACCCACAGCGGCACTGCTGCATCTGTCTCCCAACCACGTCCAGTGCCAGCCAGGCTCCCTGACGGTTCTGGCCAAGTGGCGTGGGGGGAAGATTTTCAGAAGGCGCTGGAAATCCCAAGGTGCAAAGGGGAGGGGAGCCCCAGAAGACATGGCGCTTGGAGGCACCTTGGTGCTCAGTGGCTTCCTGCATTTCTGCTGTGCTTTTTGGGCAGGGGCAGCTCCCAGGACCACTCACATGAGGTGGTCAGCTCTGATATTTCCATTTTTTCTGTTCATGGAGATTATATGAATTTCAGACATAGGTTCATGAGAAAAGAGACATTAATTTCCTCCTGTGGTTGAAGTTTGGTGGACAGGGCAGGTCTCTGTTCTATCAGATGGAGACACATACGCAGTTCCAGATTTCTCTCCTATTCCTAAATTACTCCTGCAACCAGGATATGACTCAGCTATCCACTGCTGTGTAGTAAATATCCCCAGCTTAGTGGCTTCAGACACACTGGTTCATCTTTCTCTCTGCCCTCTGGGTTACTGGTTGCTCTGCTCCACAGTGTCAGCTGGGGTCACCTGTGCAGTCTCACTGGGCCAGATGCTCCGTGAGCCCCTGGGTCCCCTCACAGGGTCTCGCTGTCTGGGGTGACACCCTGGACAGACAGGGTCTGAGGATGCGGTCCCTCTCGGGGCCACACTTTGGCCACCCCATCAGCCAGCAAAGGCCAAGAGTCCCTTCTGCTCCCCGTCAGGAGCTCTGCCAGACTACCTAGGCCCATCACCGAGACACAGGGCCCTTCCTACTCTGGATCTCACTGTCCCCCTGGCATCAACAAGAAAGGGGGCCTGGACAGGCTCTGCACTCTGACCCCCAAGCCAGTTCAATTCAGGACCTCCACCCAAGAGCCTGGCTGTCTGTGGGGCCTGGCCTCAGTCTCTCTGTGCCACTGCCCCCTTCCTCCCCTCTGTCCCACAGCCCCAGTTCTGAGGCACCTAGTGATGGGAGGAGAACTTGCCAGCCAGTGCCCGCTGTCCTGTTGGTCATTGTCTGAAAGCAAGTTATTTCTTAGCTTTGACCCCTTTCTCAAGTTCGTCATAGGAGGGCTGGCCTCAGCAGGCTACAGGCAGAAGTCACTAAATATGGGTGTTTTGTAAAAAAGCATGCAGTTGGCTTTGTTTTTAAGTTCAAAATGGGAATTTCTGTGTTTAAACCGTAGTGTTTAGGCCATCTTCACTTTGTCATATATGATCACCTTAATTAGTTTTTTCTATTTGCCACAATTTTTCCCTGCTGCTTTTTCTCCTTTCTTCTCCCTGATGCTGGATTGGTGAAGTTTTATTTTCCTTTCCTCCATGGGAGTTGGGAAGTTATACCTCTCTCTCTTTCTTCCGGTTACCCTGAACACTTAACAGAAAGCCCTGCTCCAGAAGTCTAGTCTGGGGTCTCTCCACTGTCTCTCTCTGCTTCCTCCACTGTCTGGCTCCGGTTACTGTTTTCTGATGTTTTTCTCTCCTATTCTTTCTTCAAACCACCTGAAAGTAAACACTCCAAGTTAGTCTTGGGTGTTAAAGTCAGTGTAATTTCCTTTTGCCAAGGGCTTTATCTTCCTCTCCTCATCCTCCTCCGTTTTTGGCACTGGGGATGGAACCCAGGACGTTCAAACTGAGCTGCATCTCCAGCTCCCCCACTCCCTTTCTGAAACAATGTCTCATTAAGTAGCTCCGTTGCCAAGACTGGGCTCAACCCGCAATCCTCCTGCCTCAGCCTCCCAATAGCATTGGGATTACAGGTGTGGCCTGTGATGCTGGGCTCATTTCCTTCTTGCCAGTGTGTGCCTGTGGGTCAGTGGCAGCAGTGTAAATCTGCTGTCTTTGTTTTTGACTATCTTTAATGAATGAAAAGAGAAATTTGGATGGAATTCTAAATGGGTCTTTTTTCTGAGCCTTTTGAGGCCATTATTTCATCTTTGAGCACCCACGTTGCTAAAAAGAAATCTGCTGTCAGTTTGCTTCTCCTTTGTAGAGGTGGCCTTTCTCTCTAGACGTTTTTTCTACGTTCTCTGTCTCTGATATTTCTCCTCTCCACTGCACTGTGTCCAGGTGCATGTGTGCGCTCTCACACACACATGCACACACACGTGCACACACCCACAATGTCCACATGCGTGTGCACACACTGTTTTCCCACTCAGGAATTTGTTTCCTTTCCCTCTGTATATTGCCTGGGACTCCTGTCCACATGTTGCCTCTCCCCAGTTCACCCTTTCCCCTGGAACTCCCGGTCACCGTGAGTTACACTTTGCTATTTGCCTCCATGACTTAACCCTCCAGGACATAGGGGTGAATTCTGAGCACTCTCTTCAGACCTGTCTCAGCCCACTAAGTCTCCAGCTGCACTGCTCCCACCACAGAGCCTGTCTTCACCACTGTAGTTGTGCTCCAGCCTCCCGAGTCCTGCCTGCAGGGCTCCTTGTTCACTGGGCCTCAGGGGCTCCTGGCCTGGGGCCCAGCTCCGGGGTGGAGCACTCGGAAGCTCCCACACCAAAGACAGGAGATCGCCTCCCTTCCTCTGTACAAGTCTGGAGCTTCCCTAGTCCTCCTGGGGCTGCCCTGGTGCCCCATCCCCTTAGGTACAGTGGTGTCAGCTGCTGGACTGTCCCCTCTGGTGCCGTTTGCTCTTCTGCTCGAGACGGGGTCTCGCCGTGTAGTCCAGGCTGGCCTTGAACTCACTATGTAGCCCAGGCTGGCCTCAAACTTGCTGTGATCCTCCTGTCTCAGCCTCCCTAGAACTGGGATTACAGGCATGTGCCACCACACCCGGTTTATTTCTGCATTTTTGCAAACTTGTCTTCAGCACGTTTTTTTCTCAGGCAGGCTTTGGTTAGAAAACTGCAGGTCTGGGTTTTCTGTGCAATGCCAGGCTTTCCCTAACACCCCACGCCCCACAAGACACTGCCTCCCTGCACCTCCCAGACGCCTAGCATCTCAATCCTCCTAGCATGGCAGGGTGGCCCTGAAGGATCTGAGTAACCCCAGGAGCTCAGCGACTCTGGCCTGTGGGCTGAGCAGCGCTGAAGGCTGGAAACCTCTATCCAAGTGAGGAAGGCACACTTCAGAGGAGAAACAGAGTTTGGTTGCTCCCAGATTTTGCGGGAACCGTCGATGTGCTTTACGTCCTGCGCAGCACGCGCTGGCCTTCCTTCCCCCGTGCGCACTGGGTGTGAAGTCGCGCAGCACGCAGGCCTGACCACGGGCCTCTGGAGCGGCCTTCGTCCATGCCCAGCCCCACCAGGGAATTACTCAGCCTTGTATTTGTTTCTAAATTTTTAATTTGTTTTGAATGTCTAAATGTGACCATCCATTATGCACAATCTACTTGTTTTACTCAGTAAGATATCACAGACGATCTTTTTATGGTCGCACACAAGTATTCAATGGTTCTGTCATTGCCTCCTCAGCGTCTACTGGGAGGGTCACAGGGTGTCCCCATGGCCCCTCTGGCCCGGCCTGGGCTTGGAGCAGTCAGCACGCGGTTCCTGAATGAATGAACGGATGAGGGAGGAGGTGAAGGGTGACGGACAAGGAAGTAGGCACAGCCTTTCCAGGGTTGGGCCCCCCGAGGCAGCGTCCGGCACACGAGGCTCTTGAAAGGTCGTTCAAGGTGACGGCAGAGTGTACTTGGAGCTGGAGCATCGTACACAAGACAAAAGGGCTCCACGTCTCTCCAGGACTTCGCTCGGGGAGCCCGACCTGGCCCGGGCCACAGCTCCCACGGGCCCCGGGGTTGGGCTTGTCCCTTCCTAAACTCCTGCCAGCATGGACGCAGGCCGCTGATTGGCACCTGAGCTCCTGCCAACATGGAAGCAGACCGCTGATTGGCGCGGCCGCCCATCCAGGCCTGGCCCCTTCGCTGAGATCAGGGGCTGCGCCTGCGCATTACTGACGCAGGGTGTGGGCTTGGACTCATGCTCCTCAGGAATCCTTTTACAAGAACGGTGTTTGGTTCGCAGCATCCTGTGGCCTGGCAGTGAACAAGGCTGCATGCGCTCCCCCACCCGGCCTGCTATGGGCCGTGCAGCCGCAGCCAGCCGCCTGGGCTTCTGAACCCTTGGCGGTGCCTGGTATGGCAAGGAGACTGAATTTCACGTTTATTTCATTTCTGTAACATAAAAGGTACTTGTGGACATGGCTGGTTGTCACTGCCCTGGGAGGCAGAGCAATGTCTACTCCGGAGTCAGCGTCCTTTGCACTCTTTGTCCTGTGCCTGTGGTGGCCCTGTAGGGCCTCTTCGGTTCTTGCTTTTGCAGTCTTGGAAACATGCGTACACATGCTGGGCCGAGTGCTGTGCCAGTCAGGGCTTTATGTCACGGCCACTGCATCAGGCCCGTGACCCTTCACCGCTCCCCAGCACTAACCTCCAAAGTTGCCCCAGCGGCACGGGGTGCCTGCGGGACCCACTGCTTGAGCCAGAGCTCAGGGAGACCTGGCCTGAGCCTGCAGGGCTACTGAGGGCCACACCCAGCCCCAAGGAGGACCTTGGCCCCGCGCTGTGAGGAGGCCAAGTCCGTGGTGTGAGAGAGCCACAGGAACAGGTCGTCGAGGCTGTCAGAAAACAAGACCTGAGTGTAAGGTTGTCCAACTCCAGCAGAAGCAAACACGCAGCTGGGCTGGATAATCCGTCCCCGTGGGCGCCCCGAGGCTATGGGACCTCAGTGCCCAGGCCTCTGCTCCCTTATGTCACACAGTGAAAGGCTCTTCGGGTAGAACCATCAAGAGGGTCCTAAAGCTGGAGGACTGTCCTGGACTATCGGGCGGCCCGTCCGACCGCCTGAGCCCCGAGGGAGAGCAGTTTTCCATCTAGGCTCCTCCAGCGGTGCTGCAGCAGCCCAGCTTCAGAGTTGGGGCAGCGGACTCTGGGGAAGCAGCTGGAGCAAGCAGGAGCAGTGGCCTCCAGCGGCCTGAGCTGGACTCTGCCAGTGCCCAGATGGGCGTGGAGCGGATCTCCCGGCCCCTCCAGACAGGAGCCGGGGCAGTGAGACCTTGGATGTGCCTGATGCCTGGGGAGCAGGGAGACAGCTGAGCCTGCTGGCTCCTACTCAGACCAGCGAGGCTGCACACGTGTGTCTTGTTTATACTTTGCAGGGCTGGGGATCGAACTCAGGGCTTTGCACATGTGAGACAACTGCTCTACCCAGGAGCTACAGCCTGGCCCTTTTTATCCTTATTTTTATTTATTCAGATAGAATCTCTCTGAATTGCTGGCTGGTCTGGGACTTGTAATCCTCCTACATCTGCCTCCCGAGGAGCTGAGATTTCAGGCGTGCATCACAGTGCCTAGCAAATGTGTGTTGTTTTAAACTGCGAATTTTGTGCTAATTTGTCACAACAGAAATAGAAAACCAATCCTCTGCTTGCTGCCAGTTCAGCCACAGTGTGGAAGGGTTTCTGGGTGGTGAGGGAAGAGAGGACTACATTCCCACTCTGCACCACAGGAGTATCTAAACCTAAACAGTAGAAATGTGGCCACAAATGTCCAGAGAGCCAGCTCAAGTGCTGGGAGCAGCTGCCCCGGGGAGCAGGAACTGGGCGCGGGTCTGCACTTCAGGGCTGGAGAGAAGTCCATGAGGCTCATGCCCCACCACGGGCTGACCTTGAAGTCCGGGTTGTCTCAGGGCTGGGGGGGGCAGGTGACCTGCCGAGGCTGCAGCATCTCTCTGTGCCCAGGGTGGAGGACAGCAGCACCAGGCTCCTGGAGGCCGAGAGGGAGCTGCGGGCAGTGCGTCAGCGCTCGGTGGTGCTGGAGCAGCGGCTGGAGAAAGCGCAGCTGGGGCCTGGCCGGACTGCGGCCAGAGGCCGATCCTGTGAGTAGGGAGCAGGAACCCCAGACCCCTGGCGGCCCTGGCCACCAACCTGGCACCAGCTCAGCCCTGGGCCCTGGGCCCTGCACACCTCAGGTCAGAGAGGCTGGTGCTGTGGCCTCTGCGGGTATGGGCTGTGGCTCCTCCTGCCTCGGTACAGGGCGGTGCCTGAGCTCCCAGCCCATGGCAGGAGAGGGCCCAGCGCTGTCCCAAGCACCTCCACCCACTGTGCCCACAGATGTGCACCCCCCCCCACAGGCTCCAGAGCAGCTCCCCAGGCCCCTGGCCACATGGGGACAGCAGAAGCAGTGGCCCGCCAGCCCCAAGTCCCCACAGCTGGACCACAGCTCCTGTGGCTTCTCTTTCTGCACTCAAGAAGTGTGAAGTACTAAGCAGAGAAGCCACCTAGGCAGGACAAGAGCAGAATCAGGGCCGTAGCAGAAGCCAAAGCCAGGCAGGACAGGAGAGGAATCAGGTGTCCCGGGGAGGCAGCCTCATCCTCACCTGGAGCAGGTTCAAGGAGCGTTTCACCAAGGGGGACACAGGGTATAGGCACGGGCAGTGGGCTCATTACACAGTGCTGCTGCTATCCTACAGGTCTGCCTGCATCCAGCACTAGGAACAACCTGACGGCAAGTGAGAAGAAGGCCCCATCCTCTGCCCAGCTGTCCAACGTGCCGGTGGAGTCCCGGGTGGAGGAGCTGACTGCCAGGTGCCCCCACCCCAGCTTCCTGACAGGGCGGTGTTCTGTCCGGGTGCAGGTGCTTCTGGGAGGCTAAGCCCACTTTCCCACTCAGCGGCCTCTTGTCCACACCTTGGGGCTCCTCCAGGGATCCCGGGTACCTGGCTGGGTTGTGGGTGCAGCCAAGCACTCAGCCCCATGTCCTGTGTCAGGCTGGCCGTGCAGACGGAGGAGAATGAGCTGCTGCGGGCAGCGCTGGGCAGCGCCCTGCGGGGCAAGGAGGAGGACTTCCACGTGTACCACGAGACCCTGGCCCAGGTGAAGGGTGTCTTCCTGCAGGCCCTGCGGCAGCAGAGGGCCAACGGGCACTAGCAGGGTGGCCTGGTGTCTGCAGCCTCCCAGAAGCCACCAGAGCCCCTGGATGACCAAACCCAGCCTTGGCCTGGCAGACAGAGGGGCCTCTGGGCCTTTGGGCACATCTGCCAACGCTTGGGGACATCAAGCCAGCTGCAGAGCAGACGAGTCCCCCGAGCTGGGTCCCTGGGCCTCTGGCCCCCCAGTGCCATCTCAGCTACCACCCCACCCAGACCCAGGGCCCTGGCTCCCCACTTTCTGTGGCTGGGACTCATAATAGTAATCATCACTGTCATAATCCTGGGTCAGTGAGTGTCTCCTGCCGGCCTCAGGGTTTCAGGGCCACCATCGCGTCTGAGGTGGGGCTGGGACTCGAGGATGCTGGGCGGCAGGACCCGGGCCAAGGTGCCAACCTCAGGTGTGCGCACAGGGTTTCACGGCAGTGGATTCTGGCTGGACCTGAACATTGACCTCTGTGACTTCGGTCATCTCAGCTGCCCGGGAGGGTCACCCCCACCACACAGAGCTGCAGGAGCACAAAGACCCCTGCAGAAGCCATGGCACAGGTGGGCAGCATGGTGTGGGCACAGCCTGGCCGGTGGTACCGGTGCCCTCTCGAGAGACACCTGGGCTCCCACACACCAGTTGTGTAGGTCCAGCCCTCTGCCCTGAGTAGCACCCTCAGGTGTATCTACCTCAGGGCAGGATAGAGGCCAGCAGGGCCAGGGCAACGCTGATGGGCCTCTGCCTTTGGCCGGAGGGGACTGTGTGACAGCCCTGTCTCTGTCTCACACGGCCCCTCTTCAAGCACTGGGCATGGGGGGTGCAGCCCCAGGAACAAGGGCCAGTGCAGGACCAGCCCCCGCGGTCCCCTGGGGAGTGGCAGGGGTGTGGCCAGTACCCACTGCCAGCTCTGTGGCCTCCAGCAAGTGACTTCCGCTCCCTGAGCCTCCCTGTATTCATCTGTGAAGTGAGGACAGTGGCAAAGCCTTCCAGGACACAGTCAGAGACCAGCAAGGAGCCGCTGGCTCGTCATGGCCTTGCTATTTACTTCTGCATGAGTAACAGTGTCCAGCTTAATGCCGCCTCCAGCAATATAAATAGCACTCATGTAAGGACAGGTGGGAGAGAGCTGCTGCCTGCTGGCACCGCAGGCCCCTCTGCCCATCCTTAGCAAACCGATTGGCGAGCACCTGCAGGGCTATGAGGCTTCCTGTCCTTACCTGGGCAGACTGTGGACAGAACTCTGCAGAGCCCTGTGGGGCCGGGGCCCAGCGCTATGCCCTCCGGCTGGGACCCCATGAGCTGATAGCTGCTGGCACACAGTAAGCACCCAGCAAATGCCCACATGGGGCACTGAGATGAGCCCTGGGGTCCCTGCAGGTCACCACCCATGGCTGGCCAGGCACCAGCAGCGATTGAGTTGGAGGCCAAGGAGCATGACCAGCTCTTCCTGCCCCAACTGTGGGTTAGGGGAGACTGGAGAGGGCTGGACCCTGGAGTTGAACCCAGAGTGGCCCGGTGGGAGCAGGGCGTCCTGCTGTATGGGTGCAGCCCGTGAGCCCCTGAGACCCTGAACAGGACCTCCCCTCCCTCAGGCCAGCAGCAGCAGGACAACACCGAACCCTGCCAAGGGTGCCCTGGAGGGTGGGGAGGGGAAAGTAAAAAGGCAGGCGGAAGCAGGCGTGGTGGGCACGCCTGTCATCCCAGCACTCTGGGAGGATGAGGCGGGAGAATTACAAATTCAGCCCAGCCCAGCCTGGGCAATTTAGCGAGACCCTCCTCTCTCAATACAATAAAAAGGGCTGGGGATGTGGCTCAGTGCAAGGGGCCTGGGTTCTGTCTCCAGCTCCACAGAAACAAAGATAGGTGAAGGTGTGAGGCCCCCACACCCCAGATGCCAGGCTGGTGCTCAGGCTCTGGGTCCCACAGGAGAGCCCTGGGACAATAACATGGTCTGGCCACTGTCCCCACGGCCCTGGGATACAGCCATGCCAGCCTAGGTTACAGCCTGGCTCCAGCTGAGACATATATATCCAGAGCCCCTGTGAGCCCGTGCAGCCTCCACATGTCTTGCACACGGCACACAGTGCCCAGGACACACAAATGGCGCAGTGTGTGTGCGACCAACACGAGACCAGGCCATGCACAGTGTGCTCGCCTGCACTTGTTTCTGTAGTTTTTTTTTTTTTGTACCAGGGATTGAACTCAGGTCCTTGTGCCTGCAAGGCAGGCAGTGGAACCACTGAGCCAAATCCCTGGCCCAAGCACACTTAACAGCATGAAGAAGGGGATTTGAGAGACCCACCTGTCCACCCTGTGTCCTGGGGAAGCCAGGCGCCCACTGGCCCCTGCCCAGTGGCCCTGCCCTGGTCCCCCATCCTCCCACCCGCACATGGCCCGCAACCAGTGCCGCCACTCAGGTCGGAGCCAGGGCTCCCTCAGCGCAGCCCCAGGGTGCCCGCCCAGCCACAGGGAGCATAGACCTGGAGTGATGGCACCACCTGGGGCAGCACCCAGGGCGAGCCGAGGGGCACCCTCACCCTCACCCTGCAGGCAGTCAGCCACCCCACTGCTTCCTCTTGTGCCAGCTGGGGACAGCAGTGGGGACATTGGCAGATGAGTCAGTGTCCATTCTGGCTGCTCCGATTTCCTGGTCCTCACCCCAAACAGAAGTCCGATCCTGCCTCTCAGGTCAAGACCTGGGGACAGGACCTTGGCCACTCTCTGCCGGACTCCCCTGCTGCTTCCTCTGGGCCACCTCATGCATGTGCCCAAGGGCCATCTCTGTCCCTTTCCCACATGGCCAGCAGGGCATCCTACCATCCTCTACAGAGCCACAGCTGGTTAGGCACAGTCCCTTCCTGCCGGCCACTGCCAGTGCCCACTCAGCCTTGCTGGTGACCCTGCAGGCACCCTGCCCAGAGACAGCTGCGGTGGGACAGTCAGGCCCATCCTCCCCCGGCACCGTGCCTGTGTGTCAGAAAGGAAGAGGGCAGCACCGTGTGGGCCCTGACAACCCAGGGGTCTCACAGGAAGGCGGAGCTGGAGCTCACGGGGCTGTGGGGCAGTGTGTGCATAGCCACCTGGGAGGCTTCCTGGAAGAGGGGGTCCTGACTTACAGCAAGAGGGTGGGGGCCCAGGCTGGGGGCCCCATGTCCCTGCCCAAGCCTCTCCTCTTCCCTCCCCCACCTCCTGAGGCTCCGCAGCCAGCAGCTCTGCAGTGTTCAGCTCAGTGCCACTCAGGAAGGGCACCTCCTCCCGCCCTGTCACCACTCAGCACACAGCCTCAGGGGGTGGGGACCCGAGACTGGACACTCCCCACTCTGCCCAGAGCTCAGCCAGCTGGGCAGACGCTTGGTCGGACGCAAGGCCCCGGAGCCCAAGGTGGGCAACGTGCCAGGGCCCCTCTCAGCCCCTTGAGGTCAGTGCCGGCCAGGACACAGCCATCCCAGGGGCTCCTGAGACCCGTGGGTCCCCAGGCCCCGAGGCAGCCCGGCCCCCACACACACCTGAGGGGAAGGGGCACCTGGGTCCCTTGGCCAGCCCAGCCGGGGGCCTGGTGGCAAGGCCGGGTGGGGGCCAGCTCCTGGTGGGGGCCTGACCAGGGACACTGCACAGGCCATGGGAGCTAAAATTGGAGCGCGGCAAATGGGAGACAGCTGACAAGGCTGTTCCACCGCTCTCGGTGCTCCGGTTTCAGGCTCCTGCTCCCGTTAACTCCATCCCAGGCCTCCCTGCCCCAGCCCCGCGAAGGCACAGAGGGTGAGCAGGTGCCCAGCCTGGCCATGGTGGGGAGCCAGGGGGCGGTGGGACTCGGGCAGGGGTGGCAGTGGTCTCCTGGGATCACAAAGGGACTCCCTGAGCCACCTCGTCATGGGGGAGGCAGCCAGACACTGGGCCCTGACCTGTCCCCTCTGCTCTGCGACCTGTGGCCTCCTGTGGAATGGGCATACTTGGTGGTGCCCAGGAGAGCTGGTAGGGGCCAGCCAAGGCCATCTGTCACTGGAGGCTCAGGGTGGGACACAGCCACACCAGCGTGGGGACGCTGGAAGGCTTGGTACCTGTGGAGTCGCAGATGGCTCAGCCAGACTGGGTCAGGGATGGAGGGCACAGGTGTGAACTGAGGCCCCTGGGATGGGCCAGCAAGATGCCTAGGGACCCTTGGCCCTGGCCAGAGGGAGTGCGGGGCCTGTCCTGGTGTGAGGCTGCCCAGCACCTTGGACAGCAGCCAGCATGCTCAGTGCCCGCCTGGCCCGACCTGCTTCCCGTCCCTGGCACCTCCTCAGGTGGCCCCCAGCCAAGGTTGGCCTGAGTGCCCGGGGCCCCGAGTGGGATAGTGTGGACGCCGGTAGGGCCAGGACAGGAGGTTCGTCAAGGGTCCCTCCCGGGAGGTTGTGGGGACTCGGGCAGGAGGGGCAGCTCAGAAAGGGAATGGGGGTGAGGTGTGGGGTCCAGGGCAGTGGGGCTCTGTCAGGAGCTGGGGGCTCCCTGGGGGTCAGGAGGCCCAGAAGTCCATGGGGGCCTTCTCAAGGGTGAGAGAGGGAGTGGCCTCCGGGGTTGGGCACAGTTCCTGGGGCGGAGCCTCCGCTCCAGCAGGGCTGTGGGGCACTGCGCTTCACCCCACTGTCTCCTCAGCCCCATCCAGACCATGGGCATCAAGACAGCACTGCCTGCTGCCGAGCTGGGCATCTACTCCCTGGTGCTGAGTGGGGGCCTGGCCTTTGCTGCCCGGGGCCTCCTGGAGGCGTCGCAAGGTGACAGCGGGGCCCTGGGGCGGAGGCCGGGACCCTGTCCCTGTGGGAGCTGGGGCTTGGGCAGTTTGAGCCCAGGCGTGGCCCAGAGGCTCAGAAGTGCAGAAGGGGACATGGCACGGAGGCCCAGGCCCGGCACCCTGGCTGGACACAGCCACGTGGGGCCCTGCCCTGAGGCCGTGCTATGTCCTCAGATGGGGCCCACAGGAAGGCCTTCCAGGAGTCCGTGCGCCCTGGCTGGGAGTATATCGGCCGGAAGATGGTAGGACCCAGACCCCGTCCCCACCCCAGTGCTCCAGTGTCTGAGTCCCAGAGCTGGGGTCTCCAGCTCCCCAGCCCTCCTGGGCCCTGCAGGTTGAGCACACAGGTCCCCTCGTCCTCCCAGGATCTCGGCAGAAAAGGCTGCTTACTGCGTGTGCTGAGTGGAGGCCAGGAGCACCCCTGCCCTGCCCCTGCCCTGCCTGGGGAGCCTGCAGGGAGGCTGGGAAGAGCCCTGTGCTGGGCGGGACCAACCCCTAACCAGCCCCTCCTCCCATGACCGGCCGCCCAGGATGTGGCTGACTTCGAGTGGGTGATGTGGTTCACCTCCTTCCGCAACGTCATCCTCTTTGCCCTCTGTGGACACGTGCTCTTTGCCAAACTGTGCACCATGGTTGCTCCCCAGGTGAGCTGAGCCCGAGCCCACCCTGGCCACGGGGCTGCAGGAAAGCCACCCACATCCCCAACGAAGCCTCCCCTGTCCGCAGCTGCGCTCCTGGGTGTATGCAGTGTACGGCATCCTGGCCGTGGGGGCCACTATGGGCCCCTGGTACCTGCTGCTGCTGCTCGGCCACTGCGTGGGCCTGTATGTCGTGTCCCTCCTGGGCCAGCCATGGCTCTGCCTCGGCCTTGGCCTGGCCAGCCTGGCCTCCTTCAAGATGGACCCGCTCATCTCCTGGCAGGTGTGCACTAGATGGGACTGGGGGACTCAGGAGGGGACCCAAACCTCTCGCTGCCTCCAAGCCCCACAAAAGAGGCAGCTGCTGGCCCCGGGTGTGTCCAGCCAGCGCCTGTTCTCTCTCTGCAGAGTGGGTTTGTAACGGGCACTTTTGATCTCCAAGAGGTGCTGTTCCAGGGGGGCAGCGGCTTCACCGTGCTTCGCTGCACCAGCTTCGCGCTGGAGAGCTGCGCGCACCCCGGCCGCCGCTACTCACTGGCTGACCTGCTCAGATACAACTTCTACCTGCCCTTCTTCTTCTTTGGGCCCATCATGACCTTCGACTGCTTCCACGAGCAGGTGAGGTGGGGCTCTGAGCACAGGCCGCAGACCTCCTGAGGGAGCCGCATCCCGCCCTGGCCAGGGCCCAGCAGGGACCACAGAGGGGACAGGGTTTCCTCCCAGGACCACGGCACCACGTCCCATCACACAGGGCCCCGAGTGGACGGGGTGCCTCCTCGGGGTGCCACAGCTGTGTCTGCAGCTGGGACATTGTTCCGCCCACATCCACCACAGCCAGCCTGTGTCCCCCAGGTGAGCCAGGCGGAGCCGGTGCGGCCCGAGGGTGAGCTGTGGCGGATCCGGGCACAGGCGGGGCTCAGCGTGGTCACCATCGTGGCCATGGACATCTTCTTCCACTTCTTCTACATCCTCACCATCCCCAGTGACCTCAAGTTTGCCAACCGCCTCCCAGACAGCGCCCTGGGTGGGTCCCGCACAGGGATGGGGCAGATGCCCTGCACCCTCTCGGGGTGCCACAGCACCCAAGGGTCCTTGTCACACGTGGGGCGTGACATTCTGTTCTGGGACCTGGGGCCGTGTGCCCAGGAGCCCACCACTGCCGGGGACTGTGAGGTGTTCATAGAAGATGGGGTGCCCACGGGTACACAGGGGAGCCCCCGAGAAGGGGCTGTGCGAAGGGCTCCACGGGCCACGGCGGTGACGGTGCCCGTCCCCAGCTGGCCTGGCCTACGCGAACCTGGTGTACGACTGGGTGAAGGCAGCCGTCCTCTTTGGCGTCGTCAACACCGTGGCGCGCCTGGACCACCTGGACCCACCGCGGGCTCCCAAGTGCATCACCGCGCTCTATGTCTTCGGGGAGACGTGAGTGCCCGGGGTGGGGGACCCAGGACCTCACCAGGCCCCTCCTGCTCAGCGGCCTCCCTCCCACAGGCACTTCGACCGGGGCATCAACGACTGGCTGTGCAAGTGAGTGGCCAGGCCATGCCGGGCAGAGGTGGGGCGGGGTGGGTGCGGAGCCCGGCGAAGCTGCGGACAGAGCAGAGCCCCAGGCAAACAGTGGGCAGCCTGGACCCCCAGTTCTGTCAGATGGCAGCTTCCAGACAGCCAGGAAAATGTCTGCTTGGAACCAGGGGCAGCCTTGGGCTGGAGAGGGGGCTAGAGGCTGGAGGACCCCAAAAGCAAGAAGACGAGGGCCAGCTGGGCCTGCGAGGACACTGGGCGGGGGAGGTGGCTGGAGTGGACATAGGAGCAGGAGAGGATCGAGGCCACGGGGCATCCACAAAGCCCAGGGAGACCTGGGCCGAGGTGTGGGGACCTGGAGGGCCAGCAAGGAGGGGTCTGCCTGACGCGGGGACAGGACCCCACTGAGATGCATGTGTGCAATGCAGCAGAGTTGGAGTGTGGTGGCCAACACAAGGCATGGGAGGCCCTGGCCCTCGGGCCAGGCAGGTGGAAGATATGGCTTTAGGGCCCTGTATGTGAGAGCTTTCCTATCAGAGCAAGCAACTGGTGCCCCCATGAGAAGGAAAAGTGGGGGACAGGGTTTTCAGCTCTCCAACAACACCATGGCCAGGCCCATTAAGGACAGCACTTAGGAGGCTGAGGCAGGAGGATCACTGCAGTAAGGATGGAACGCATGATGGGTGGGACTGAAGAACCAAGCCAGGAAACCACCAGGTCAGGACAGGCTGGGCAGTGGGATTTAGGAAAGGGGAGTTTGGGGCAAAGTTGGGGTGTGGCCAGGGCAGAGGCAGCAGGTGGACGGAAACAGCACTGGAGATAAGCAGGCCCCGGAACGCGAGGCAGGTTCGTCTCCTGCCAGTTTATTCAACACACACCCACCAAGCACCAGGCACTGGCACAGCCGTGAACACAGATGACCCTGGACTCGGTGGGGAGCAGCAGTCGCACACAAGTGGCCAAGCCCAGTAGGGTGACCCTGGGGACCCCAGGTGTTCAGAAGAGGAAGACCGTGCTGCAGGGAGCAGCTGGCACAGGGAAGAGCTTCTCAGATCCAAACTCGGACTGGAGTGACACGGAGATGTAGGAAATGAATCCCAAGGAAAAGAGCAGTGCATGGGAAACTGAGGCACCAAACCAGCTGGGAGGTCCCGGGGGCACAGTGGGTGGGGAGACTGATCCCCACTGTAAGGGAAGTGTAGCCGGCCAGTGGTGCATGGTGGTATTCCCAGCATTTGGGAGGCTGAGGCAGGATGATGGCTGCAGTTCCACACCAGCCTGGGCCACACGGTGTAACAGGAGACCATGGGGGTCACAGGAGTAGGGGTCTAGGCTGCTTTCGAAGAACCCTGGGTTGTGTGGGAGTGGGGGAGCAGGAAAGATACAGAGGCTCTGGCCATCAGGGGGCGCAACTGGGCCAGGGCAGAGACGGAGATGGGGAGCCATGGTTGGGACCGAGTGAGGGCTTGGCTGTGGACCCGATGGGCAGGGCTTGTACCGGAGCAGCTGAGAAAGCACTGCGCCATGGGCCAGCCCCTGGGCCGAGGAGTCGGCAGACCCCCAAGGGGAGCCAGCAGCAGGGGGCACGTGTCAGAGGCTGTGTCACCAGCAGACAAGTCACCAGCAGGCTCGAGGGTGGCACCCAAGGTTGGGAACAGCAGCTGCCCCCAGGCAGTGCCCGATGCTGGGCTCAGCTGCCCCCACCAATGCCCACACCCCACAGCCTGCCATCCCCTGCAGGTACGTGTACGACCACATCGGTGGGGCGCACTCGGCTGTGATCCCTGAGCTGGTGGCCTCGGTGGCCACCTTTGCTGTCACCACGCTGTGGCTTGGGCCCTGTGACATCGTCTACTTGTGGTCAGTCCTCAACTGCTTCGGCCTCAACTTTGAGCTCTGGGTCCAGAAGCTGGCAGAGCACAAGCCCCTGGCACAGATTGAGGTGAGCAGGGAGGGGATGGGAGGGGACAGATAGGGCCCAGGGAGGTGCAGGAGGCAGGTGAGTGCTGCCACCTGGCCTCGCCCACCACTCCCTGGCTCCTGCACAGTGCGTGCTCACCGTAGACCTGAGGGTCGGGCCCAGCACACCTGAGTCTGGCTGTGGGTCAGGCCTCTGTGTCTCCACATCTGACAATGAGGGGAGCCGGCCTGGGCTCCGGGGACCCTGACACAGCCCACATCCTCTTTCCCTCTGGCCTCCCACGACACCTGCCTGGCCCAGGCCTCCCTGTCAGAGCAGATGAGCCGCCGGGCACGGGCCGCCTTTGGTGCCGTGAACTTCTGGGCCATCATCATGTACAACCTCGTGAGCCTGAACAGCCTGGAGTTCACAGAGCTGGTGGCTCGGCGCCTGCTGCTCACAGGTGAGGGCCTGCGGCCTCCTGAGGTGCAGGGCGGGCTCAGGGCTGGTAGGAGAGGAGCGTCCCGGACCCACGCCCTCTCCCACAGGGTTCCCGTGGACCACGCTGGCTGTCCTGTTTGTCACCTACTGTGGCGTCCAGCTGGTGAAGGAGCGGGAGCGAGTGCTGGCCCTAGAGGAGGAGCCTGGGCTGGACAAGGAGAAGCCGGAGTAGCAAGGGCAGGGAGGTCCAACCAGGAATAAAGCCTTGTCTGCCACGCCTGGGCTCCTGTGCTCTTCCTTGCATTCCCCAGCTCTGTCCCTGCAGGGTGGGGACGCTAAGGCCTCAGAGGACAAGAGAGACACCAGGCCAGCGGAGACATTCAGATGACCTTCCTGCGGCTCTCCCATCGCAAGAGCAGATCCCAGAGCCTGAGCTGCCCAAAGTATCCTCAAAGACGCGCTGGCTGGGGACACCCCACCTGGCAGGCAGGGGGCCGTCACCAGCACGCAGGGCCAGGGCGGGGCACTGCCCGACTCCTCCCTGTGGCTCTGGGAGACCCGAGGGGCCTCAGCTGGCATGGCACCCGGCCCCACCACGGGCCAGCAGCTCCGCCTCTCCTGGCCTCCTCCCTGGCCACAGGGTGGCCATGGCTGTCACATCTTGGTCAGGCGCAGCACGTTGAGCCGCACAGGTAGGAAGGTGGCACCGGCCGCGTAGGACATCTCGCGCAGGACGCCCTCCCACTTCTGTTCATCCTCGTTGTATCTGGGGCGGGACCAGGAAGGCAAAGAGGAGGCAGCTGAGGCCAGGGCAGGGAGGGCTAACTGCCTGTGCTGTGCCGGGGCCAACCCTGCACACCTCAACTCCTAGGAAACTCCAAGAAAAATGCACCCCGAGGACTCGCACCCCCCAGGAAGGGCCCCTCTCAAGTCCCTGCATTTGGGAAACTCACCCCCCCAATACTCCCACCCTGTCCCTACCCACCAAAGCTCCCCTCAGAATTTCCACGCTTAGCATCCAGGAAGTGGCCCCTGCAGCGGTGGGGTTCACTGGGGTTCAGGAATAGCCTAGACACAGCTGCTCCCTGGGCTGACCTCAGTTTCCCTCCAGACCAAGTGTGGGGAAGGCAGGGCAGGGCAGGCCTGGTGGCCACCTGGGCCATTTCCAGGGGTCTGACCTGGATCAGGAGGCACCTGGGCTGAGCAACAGGGTGCTGTCCTCCCCGGACTCCCCGAAGAGCTCTCAGCCTCACCCCCAGCCCCAGGACCCCCAGGCGGGGCTCACCTCCAGATGTCGTTGAGCTCCGTGGGGACCAGCTCTCCAGACTCGGTCTCCAGTGTGGCAAAGCCCCCAATGGCATAGAGGGTGCCCGCCAGGCTGAGCAGGCTGAGGGAGCTGCGCTCCTGCGGGAAGGCCTCGAAAGGCGACCACCTAGGGATGGGGCACGAGTGGGGCCAGGTGCCTGCTGCAGCCAGGTCCCTCTGCTGCAGCACCCACAACCTCTGCTGCCCCCTTGGAAACCAGAATCCAGACCCCACCGTACGGGCCTCGGAGCACCCGGCCCTGTTCCACTCCCTCCTGGCCCCCACACTGCTCCAGCCCAGCTGCCCAGACGCAGCCTTGGCACTGCAGTGGCCCTGGCACAACAGCCTGACCCCCCCCCCCCCCCCCA